CCCCCCCCACTACCTCGCTTTCTCCAGTGCCTTGTTTTGAGGTGGAGGAGGAGGGAGTTGACGCCTGACATGAAGTTTCAGGATAAAAGTATTTTTTAAAATAAGGATTGTATCTTGGGAGGATTTTTGTTTTAAATCAAATGTTACAGAGTAGACGTTCATTTAAGGCCCATTCCAGCAAGGTGCCTGCTCATTCCAGTAACCACGTTTTAGCATCTCTTTTGCATTCTAAATTGCCATTTTTAGGGAGGGGCAGAAAAATCTTTTGATCCAAAGCACAGCGAAGGTCAATGGGAGTCTTTCAGTTGACTTCACTGGGTTTCGGGTCAGGCTTCCAATTGGAATATTAATTGTTTGGAAAACATGGAGTTGATGGCACAGTTGCGTGTGCTTGTTTATTAAGCACAGTCATGAAAATCAACGAATACGCTTTTTACCATTCAGAAATGGGAATTGGCTTCAGAGAGAACACTGACAGTAGAGACCGAGAATATCTATGGGTCCAAAATTGCCTTGAAAGCATGGTTTTATTTTATTGTAAACATTGATTTAAAACCCCTCTTTAAAAAAATAAATAAAAAGGCACTATGCTCTGGGGAAACCTACTGGCAATTCCTTTATCAGAGAGAAAGAAAATAGTGATTTTAATGCATGATCAAACAGAAGATGCCTTTAACAACAAAAGCCTAGAAAACTGCACCTCCTCCTGCTAGAATAAAAATACATGAGAGCAATTTTAATTCATTTCTTACCTACGCGCTACTCCTCGGATTGGGTTTTTTATTCTGACTAGTGTGAGATTGTCATTTTGAGGAGAATTTAGGGCTAATTTGCTCTTATCTGTGGAAATCTACCTTGGCTTTTTATAGCTATATAATGCCAATTGAAGGATAGCAATGGATTCTTTCAGCCCTTGATTATTAACAAGTGGCTTGCAGTTCCATATTCATTTAGGCGATGATTCTGCAAAGAGGCTCATGAGTTAACTTTATCTATTTGAGAAGTCCCATTGAGTTCAGTAGTGCTAATCACATACATGTTCGCAGGACTGGTGCCTTAGCAGGGATTAATATGTGTAGAATTTACCTAGCGAGGCAAAGAACAAACAAGGGAATAAACTGGAAGTTTCCATATGAATTTGTGCTGGGCCTCAAGCACAAAGCTGTATCTAGAGTCCCCCAAGTTTGGGAGTGTTGGTTCAGGCGGATATCTAATGTGCCTATCAGTCAAATAAGGGTTCACTTCTGTTAATGTGGTTGATCTTTATTGTTCTTCAGAAAATGTTGCTTTCAGTTGGTTGGGTTCTTCCTACTGCTTTTGGGCATTGACAGCTAACCCCCTGCTTATTTAATGTCTAAAATAATAACAACTCTTTACACCGCTAGAATGCCTTAATCTGAGGAATTCAAAGTGATTTACAAAAACACTATGTAAGCATCTTTGTTTTTCCCGTGAGTCAGGTATTATATCCTTAGTACAGGCTGATAAATTGAGGCAGAGAGGATAAGTGACTTGCCCAAGACCTCAGAGGGAAGTCAGTGTCAGAACCGGGACTAGCATTCAGGAGTTCCTGGCTCCCAGTCCTGCACTCAGATCGTTAGACCATGTTGTTTTCTCTGTCTTTCTCTCAATCGTGGGAGTTAGCTGCTATTCATTAAACTCTCCTGGAAAATTAGCTGCTTGAGTCATAATTGAGAAGGCTTCTAGATCTTGGGTAGCACAGAGAAGCTGAATGAGCTCAGCGAACTGTTGCCAATATCTTTAAATAAGAACGAACTCTGAAGTCAGTAAAAGGAACCCTCACTGATCAGTGTAATCACTTGCTTTTCAGGGTAACAGGGGGGCCCTCAGGAAGAAGTGGACACCGAATGGTAGCCTGCAAGAGACAGTTAATCGTCTTTGGAGGATTCCACGAGAGTGCCAGGTTGGTTGCTCCAGGATTCATAGATTTTAAGGTCAGAAGGCATCATGACACTCACGTAGTCTGACCTCCAGCATGACACAGGCCGGAGAATTTCCCCTCTTCATTCCTGTATCAAGCCCAACAGTTTGTAGTTGAGCTAGAACATATCTTTTAGCCATCCAGTCCTGTTTTGAAGATCTCATGTGAGCGAGAGTCCATCGCATTCCGCGGTCAATTATTTTGTTGGTTAATTACCATCACTGTTCAAGATTAAGACCATACTTCCATTTGCCAAGCTTCAGCTTTCAGCTGCTGGCTCGTGTTAGGCCTTTGCCGGCTAGATTACAGAGGCCTTTACCGTCAGAAATCTTCTCCCCACGCAGGTACGTATAGACCATGATCAACCTCCTCTTTGATCAGCTAGATAAATTACATGAAGAATAGGGTGTTTTGAGCGTTGCACTCTTTATTGGTTCAGGTGATCTCAAAACAAGTAGTTACTGTGTTAGCTCTTTTGTTGGGATTCTGCTGTTTGCCAGGATTTGCTGGGACTCCTTTGGAAGTAATGATTAATACAGAGCAGAGAATCTGGGAGAGGTTTTTTGCTACCTGCTAAAGTAGCTTTCTCAGCTGTACATTGGTGCTGTGCACTTGTAATTTTTGCCCTAGCAAATTCAGATTTTACACTGCACGTCATGTCATAAATTCATCGGCTGCAGAGGAAATGAACCTGCTTTTAAAAGGTGAGGCCCACAAGGGGCTAAATTACTTGTCCACCTCTTCAGAGCGTCCCCATTGTGTCCCCGAAGTGACATTTTACCCTGTGCTAAATGGCAGTCTTTCATGGCAGTCTTTGTGTGCCCTAACTAGAGATTACGTGTATTACAACGATGTGTATGCCTTCAACCTGGACACTTTCACATGGACCAAGCTGTCTCCGTCAGGGACTGGCCCTGCTCCAAGGTCTGGCTGCCAAATGGCTACCACTCCAGAGGGCAATATAATCGTCTATGGTGGCTACTCCAAACAGGTAAGAGGTTCCTCTTGGTGAACTGGGGCAGTCAGAGGAAGGAGAGCCTGCTGGCTAGGGCCCTAGCCTAGAACTTGGGAGACCTGGGTTAATTCCCTGCTCTGCCTGTGTAGCCTTGGGCAAGTCACTTAGACACTGTGTGCGTGAGTTCCCCATCTGTACAATGGGAATAATAGCTCAGCCCTGGGGTGTTCAGTCGAAATACATTACAGATTGTGAGGTGCTCAGATATTACAGTAATGGGGCTCAGATAAGGACCTAAAGTAGGTAGATAAAAGATTGGAGATAAAGTCTCCGAGCATATGCCAGCCACTCACAGCCCTGAGTTCAGAAGAGACCTCCCCCACAGGCAGGTTATCCCATAATTGCCTACTGTAGCGTTTTTTCCACCTCCCTCTGAAGTATGTGGTACTGGCGGCTGTTGGAGATAGGGTGACCAGACAGCAAGTGTGAAAAATCAGGACAGGGGGTGGGGGGTAATAGGAGCCTATATAAGAAAAAGCCCCAAATATCGGGACTGTCCCTATAAAATCAGGACATCTGGTCACTCTAGTTGGAGACAGGATACCGCAGTGGCTGGGACATGGGGTCTGACGGTCTGGCAGCTCCTGTGTTGTTTTCTGTAAATGAAAGATGTGTTTTTCTGAGCCCAGGTTTGCTGGGCCTGGAGCCATAGGAGTCCAGAACCAAAGTTTGCTGATGGTGTCTGATAAATTCCAGTGTATCATCAGTGACTGTTGGCCAGCTGGCCAGTGTCTGATAAATGGTCTTTTCCTGCCTCGTACCAGTAACAACCAGCATCTGGGAGTTCACTGGCCCTTAACGGGTCATGTCTCAGTCTATTAGATACCTACACTGAAGACTACAGCTGCCAAAATTGGGGTTGGGGGACTTAGTAGCAGGCCGCAGGGCAGAACATAGGAGGCATCAGTACCAATATTTCCCATGATTTTTCAACTTGTGGCAGATGGACTGTCCTTTCTTGATAATACCCTCCGGCCCCGTCATGCCACCCCAAAGCAAATATAAATGCCCAGCCTGTGTCCAAGAATGTCTCGCCCTCCTGAACCCAGATAGGAAAGTGTTTCTGCTCAGCCCCATTGCCCCTCAGGCAGCTGCATTCCAGCACGCATGGCAATAAGGCAGGAGCTGCCAGCCTGCATGTCCTTTCTCGCACTACTGAAGGGGTTAAGGGAGCACAGCTAGTTTGCAAACTCAGTCAGCCAAAAGGAGACCTTTGATCAGCACCAGGCTTCCTTTGCACGGCTTCTTGCCTTGTTAATCAAGGTAATTTATACAGGCCAGCCCTTTTGACCATATGTCCTCATTGACCAAGTGTCCCTGTCTCCACGCTGGGAGGCAGGAAGTAAACATTTCATTGGCAGTGTGACAGTGTA